GTGCGTCTAGAAGCTCCGCGCTGCCAAGTGGATCTGCGACTTCGCCCGTGGTCCCCCTTTTGTTCGTTTTGCTTCGCGAGAGGGTTAATTCATTCGGCCACCGTTGTTGCGGGCCTCCGCCCGCGGTTTGGTCCCCCAGCCGTTCTCATTGAAGGGTGTTTTGGTGAAGGGGCCTCCACCCACCTCCGAGCGCGGTGATCTCGAGCACCGCTAGTATCCAACAAACCCGCTCCCCCATTCCAGGCCTCCTAGATGGGGTCGGAGTGGATGGGTTCGGAGGACCGCGCCGCATCGGCGATGCATCGCCGATGCGGCTCGATGTCCAGCCCGATTTCCTTCACGTTGACGTCGCCGATGCATCGCCCACGTCGACGATGCATCGAGGGTGCATCGCCGATCCATCGCCGATGTATCGGCGATGCGGGGCGATCTCCCGGCCCTCATCTACTCCGACCCCATTTCGGATTAGATGATGTTCCAACCTACTTTAGCCTTGATCACCAGAAAGAAATTCGAGCACCAAGAAAGTCCCGAAACTGCAGGGTTTTCACGTGTCGGGCCCTGGGAGGCGTTACTCGTTCGACACTGTTCCCATACTTTTCTCGAAAGTAATTCTGGGATGTGGTCCTTAAGTACGATGGGATCAACATACATCTAGGAGTCCTCTACCCATGCTCCCCTGAGATCGGACGGCACACAAATATGCAACGCAGTGGAACAGGTCATGGCCGGATCCCCGGACCCCCTCTTTCTGTAGCGTTTTTATTGTTCGAACTCGCTTTGCTGCAAGAGTCGAAGAGGGAGCAATTGCATAAACAATAATGTTAGCCAGCGTGGATCCCAAACAATGTGTTTCTAGCATCATGTGTTGCGCAGCTTATATGGGGCAACCTACGTAGTGCAATATATGTGGCGCAGTTCTACTTAGTGCACGCAATGTGGTGCAACATGTGTGGTGCGATCTGTGTGGCGTTCTCTATGCTGTGCAGAATTTGTGGAGCAACATATTTGGTGTAATCTACGTCAGTCAGTTCAGGTTGTGCACTTTATGTGGCGCAGCCTGTGTGGTACAATCTACGTGGTGCAATATATGTTGTGCAATCTATGAGGTGCAGTTTTGGTTGTGCAAACTATGTGGTGCAACCGTTGTTTCGGAGGAGCGTAAGCCTCGAGTACGCCAGAACTCGGGTTTGCCGGCTGTTTTTGACGAGCGCGTCTTGGATGTGTGGGTTGTTGCAGCTGGACCTCGCGTCAAATTTCAGACTGGGTCTCGTCATTCTCATGATGGCCCCGTCAGGCCAGCCCGAGTCCTCCGAACCCTGGTCTTACGTCTCCCCGAAATGTGTGCAAGCTATGTGGTGCAGTATCGGTGGTGCAGTCGATATGGAGCACAAGATGCGGTGCGATCTCTGTTGTGCAAACTGTGTGGAGCAACCTGTGTGTTGCAATCTATGTAGTCCAATCCATGCCGTGCAACTTACGTGGCGCAGCCAATTTGGTGCAGTACATATGGTGCAATCTATAGTGATCAGTCTTTACGGTGCAATCTGGGTGGTGCCGTTTATGTGGAGCAGTACATTTGGTGCAATGTATGTGGCACAGTTGCATTTCACCAATGCTCGCAGTGAGTTGTCACCTCTACTGGTCGCAGTGAGTTGCGACGGGGCGGTAGATCCTAAACGACGGCGATCGCGATGAGTGCTTGGCGTCGGCTGGTGCATCTCTGCGGCCGCGCTAACCCGTGCATGCTCGAGCCCGCAGCTGCCAGCCAGTGCAACGCGACCGACGCGGTCGCGGTGGCTGTGACCGCTGGGCAATTCCCCGTGGGCACTTCAGTGCAAGTCGGTGACTTGGGTGGGCGCGGTATCATGACGACACCGACAACAGTAGACACAACGATGACAGTAGCGATGTCGGTGGCGATGGTGGCAACCACGACGGCAAGGCCAGTAACGGCGCCGATGCTGATCACGCCCGCCGAAGATTATGACGATGTTTTGGCGTCGGTGATGAACATGTTGGAACAGTTCGACATGCGCGCGAGGTCGACGCGCGTGTGGCATGCGTGGCATTATTTGCCACGGATCGTACCCCCCCCCAGCACGCGCGCAAGGGCGTCCGGGTGAGTTCGACATGCGGGGGGCTGCCCTATTGGCGGAATGGAATGGCAACGTTGGACACACCGACGGTCGTCATAAGAAATAGCAAGAGCGCGCAGACCTTTTTTGAAAAAAAGAATTGGTGTGGGGAAACCTCGTGCTGTCTTAAATGTTTTCGGGGCGTTCGTTTTTGACATCCTTACGACTCCTACGCTTTTTTGTTGTGGGAGAAATATTTCGGCAAGCGCACGACGCGCGCGTGTGCACTTTGTCCTGTTTTGTGCAAGCGTGTCGTGCAACAACACGCGCGCAAGGGCGTTCGAACGATTTCGACACGCGCGCGCGAAAAGCCCGTGGGTTGCATTAAATGCGATTGTTTGGAAAACGATGGGCTTCGAATATGCAACAGCGCGGGCGCAAGCGTGTTGGAACACAAATAGTTGTTGCGAAACCATGTGTGTTTACTTGTTTTCGTGGCACGTTTTTGTATTTTTCTGCGATGCCTTAAATTTTTTGTTTTCGTAGGATTCGGGCATGCGCGCGCGTCGACGCGCGTGTGTGTGTGTGTGTGTGTGTGTGTGTGTGTGTGTGTGTGTTTTGTTCCATGTTTCGCATTGGATTCTTGCGACAGCACGCGCGCAAAGGCATCCCATTGATTCCGACATGCGCGCACGAGACGCCGATTTGCCAGCAAGTTAAGGATTGATTGAACCTATGTTGTTTGTGCAGATTTCGCCAAAGCCCGAGCGCAAGTCTTTGAACATTCCGGTTGCGAAAATACAAGCCTTACGAATCCTACACTTTTTGAAGATTCCGGCATGCGCGCGCGACGACGCGCGCGTGTGCATGTCGATTCATTTGTTGCAAGGTATTGCTGAAATGTATGATTCGTGATTCGTGAAAAGCGAGTGCGCGAGCATAGTGTATTTCGCAGAAGTGAAAGTGGGCGCTGAGACCAGCGGTCGGTCACCGGCCTGCCCGGGATGGTACGAAGTCAAATTTCGGTTCGACGATGTGACATAATTACGCTTTGACTAGCAGTGCGAAAAAGGAGACCGTTAATTCCGGGTGGGGGGGTAGATCAAAGTTTTTTAATCGTATACGTGGGGAAATCCATCTTGAATAAAGCATGTGGTGAAACGTATGTGTGCACTAAACGTAGTGCACTTTTCGGTTGTGCAATGTACGTGGGGCAAGCTACGTGGTGCAAGCTATGTGGTGAAATTGATGTGGTGCAACTTCTGCTGCGCAGTGTATGTTGTGCAAACTACGAGGTGCAATCTAGATTGTGCAATCTGCATGGGAATATAGGTGGTGCAATATTGGTTGTGCAATGTATGTGGACCAACGAACGTAATGCAATACATGCCGTGCGTTTCTCTGTGGTGCTAGATAGGCGGAGCGATTTGGTGTGGGGGTGTTTATGTGGTGCAGAGACTATGTGGAGCAAACAATGTGGCACAATCGGCGTTATTCAATACATGGTGTGCAATATATGTGGTGCTGCCTCTGTGCTGCAATACGGGTGGTGAAACCTATGTTGTGCAGTCTACCTTTCTGGTGCAATCTGGGTTGTGCAATCTACGTGGTGCAATACAGGTGGTGCAGTCTATGTAGAGCGATCTACGTGGTGCAATATATGTTGTTCCGTATAGGTGGTGCCATACATCTGGCGCAATATACATTGCGCAATGCGGTTTTCAATATATGGTGTGCACTATTTGTTGGCCACCCTATGTAGTGCAATATATGTGGTGCATTCTCTGTTGTGCCATCTCTTGTGTGTTGTTTTTGTTGTTGTTAGCAATATGTGGAACAATCTATGTGGTGCAGTATATGCGTGCAGTCTGTGTGGAGCACGTGGTGCGCCATTTGTGGTGCAATCTAGAGTGTGCGGTCGATGTTGGTCAGACCACGTGGTGCAAACTATGTTGTGCAAACCATGTTGTGCAATCCTTGTGTGTTGCAATATATGTTGCTAACTCTGTGGAGCACTGTGTGGTGCAAGCTATGTCTGATGCTATTTCTGTTGTACACCTCATACTGCTCAATCTACGCAGTGCCAAGTATGTGGCGAAAACGATGTGGCGACGGGGCGGCGATGGCGACAGCACAGCCGCCAGACCGCCACACCGGCCCAGACGACGGGCGGCGACGAGGCGGCGACGGGGCGGCGACGGCGACAACATAGCCGCCAGACCGCCACACCGGCCCAGACGACGGGCGGCGACGGGCGGCGACGGGGCGGCGACGGCGACAACATAGCCGCCAGACCGCCACACCGGCCCAGATCCTTAGAACAGAAGTAAGAACCCCTAAGTGAAACTACTGTTTGGGGAACCTTCGGAGGTCCGCGCTGATTTCATGGACCTTCGCTGGATCCCCCCTGGAGACTCCTGAAGCGCCGCCGGTTGGGGGTCCCGATCTGAACGATCTTCGCAGCATTCCGAAAGGTTGTGTTCATGATTTGTTGTCCTACGTGCTCGTGTAGGCCCTAGATGGCTCCAGCTCGCCCTAAGAAGGCGCAGGATGCCCAACCCCCCTCCCCCCCGACCACATGCAGGTTCCATTTCCCATTTCTGTCCGATCGGTCCGATTCGATGTCGATTCTGGCCCGCCCGATCCGATTTGATCCCGATGTTCTGACGACCCGGCACGGCCCTATGCTCGCGTAGACGCCGCTGCGCATCCTGGCGCGGCCGATCCGACCCGATCCCTGATCCGTGCCGATGCTGCCCGATCCGACGCACGCTTCGGTCTGGCAAGTGTCCCGACTTGACGATCCTGCTTTGCCGTCGTCGTCGTCGTCGTCGCTGTCGCCCTGCGCTCCAGAGCGGCCGCGGCGGCGGCAGGGGGGCCCAGGGGGCGCCATCGGGGCCAGGGTTTGCCAGCGCGCTGGCCATGGCGCCCGCCACCGCCGTGCAGGCGTCGGCCCCTCCCGGCGAAGGGCTCTCGGGCCCAGGCGGCGGGGGCGTTCTGTGGGGCAGGTTCGCGCGCCGTGTCCACCGGTGGCGACCCCGCCGCCTGCGTTCAACGTGGAACGCCGCCGGCGACCCAGAGTCGCTCGCCGTTGAACGATCGGACGTTGCGGAAAGGGCCGATCGACGATCCCCGCCGTTTCAGGAACCAACGCCGGGGTCGGCACGGCACGAACTTGTCGTGGCAAATCATGTGATCATTGCATGTTATCGAAATTATTGACGCTTTGCGCATCCCCACCAGCCCATCAGAGACCGACGCGCCTTCAAGTGGAGACGATCATGAAAACGGCGTAGGAGCAATGAGGGACAGTCGTTATCGTTCGAGGGAGGAGGAGAAGTAGTAGTAGGAAGAGGAGGAGGAGGGATGAGGAGGAGGAGGAGGATGATGGAAGAGGAGGAGAAGGAGGTGAAGGAGGAGGATGGAGGATGGAGGATGGAGGAGAGAGAAGGATGATGCATTTGCGGATGAGGAGGAGCAGGAGGAGGAGGAGGAAGAGGGCGACCAGAAAAGCTCGAAGTCTCTTGAATGCCTCTCGGAGTCTCCTCGGATGTCGCTTGAAAGCTTTTCGGAGGTCTCTTGGGGCGTCTGTCGGGGAATCTTGGCGGGCCCAGGGCCGTCTGTGGGCGTCTTGGGTGCCTCGGGGATCGCCTCTTGGAGCCGCCTGGGCGCCTCTTGGGGAGCTATTGGGAGCTTTAGAGGCGCTCTTGGAGCCATATCTTGGAAGACATCGATACAAAACGAGGGGAGCTCCAATTCGCCTCGCCCTTCTAGAGTGCCTAGAAAGGCCTATTGGGGTTCTCTTGGGGCGCTCTTGGAGCGCTCTTGGGGCCGTCTTGGTGCTCTCTTGGACCACTCTTGGGGCCCTCTTGGGCCATCTTGGAGACACCTTGAGGCCTCGGATGGCCATCGGAAGCGAAAAGGCGAGAAAGCAAACAACATCGATATTCTTAGGTTTTGGACGGAATTTCGCCTCTTCGAAGCCTCCTTGGGAGGCTTTTTGACCACTTAGAGCCGTCTTGAAGCGTTCTTGGGGTCTCTTGGAGCTCCTTGGGAGCCACCTTGAGGCATCTAGGGCTATCTTGAGCCATCTTGGAGGTCGTCTTGGGTTTTCTGAGGCGCTCTTAGAGCCGTCTTGGGCCATCATGGAAGCTCCAACCCCTCGCGGAACCCCCGGTCCAGGTCCAGGGGAGGGTGTAAGGGGGAGGGGTGAACCCCTCCGAGATAAGCTTCCTAGACCACCTACGCTTAGAGGGCTGGTGGGACTCCGTCTTTAGAGCGCACTGACGTGCGCTAGCGTCTGGTAATCGATGAGGGAGTGCCGACTTAGCGTCGATTAGCACCAGTGAGCGGCAGTTCGCGCAGGAGCCAGCAAGCCACGATTGCATGGGAGGCTCCCATGAGTGTTGCCAACGGAGGTGCAGACGGCGGCAGCGGCCAAGATGGGGGTGATGACTAGGAGGGGGGGATATCGTGCAGTGGGCCATGATATCTCACAGATCTCAAGGCCCACACGTCTTCTTTCAGCACGTTCCCTGGCCCTCCCAACTTGGGCCGCGCACGTGCCACGGGCTATGATTTGCGAACCCGCCTCTTGGACACCCCGAAGGCGGTGCAATCCACGAGCGCGACGCCAAGGCTTCGGACGTCTTCCCGATGACGAATCAAAGCCGCACAATTATAGACTTTCGGAGCTCCGCGCGAATTTCTTGGATCTGCGCCAGAGCCCCCAGGCGACGCCTCCAGCGCCGTCCCTGACGCGCTCCGCGCGCCATGGAGAGAAAGTCCAGCTCCGATCCAAGAAATCCGCGCGGAGCTCCGAAAGTTCATGTCCATGCTATTGTCTCCTCTATCTTCTGCCTCTGGGGGATATAGTGGGCTGGGCCATGATATCCCGCAGATCTCAAGGCCCACACGTCTTCTTTCAATGCGTTCCCTGGCCCCCCCAACTTGGGCCGCGTACATGCCACGAGCTATGATTTGCGAGCTTGCCTCTTGGACGCCCCCCCTTTGGACGCTCCTGAACAGACAAAACATACGTTGAGCGTTGGATCTGGTTGTGACGCTCACATCCTGCCTTGGGTGGGCTTGGTATTCCAGCTGCCCTCCTGGGGGAAGAAATTGGATAACTAACAATTGCAGAAGCTGAAATTTGGGAGGTCAGCGTGGATTTCTCGGATCGGTGCTGGAGGCCCCTGGCGGCGTCTCCGGCACCACCACTGGCGCGCTCCGCGCGCCAGAGAGGGCGGTCCCGCGTTGATCCAAGAAGTCCGCTCGAGCCTACGAATGTTTATGATTATGCCAGTCTTTGTTCCTCGAGGGAAGTTGACATGGGAAAACATGGAGTCCAAAGAGATATGCTCAAACTATGGCATCCTGCGATGCGAGTCGTTTTGATGCCCTCCTGTTGGTTGGGAAGCTGCCCGGGGGCGAGGTGCCAACGCCCGCCTCGCCTAGGTGCTGAGGCAGAAGACCTGGCATCGGACGTGTGTATTTCTCCTCGGCGAGGACCATCGAGAAGCATCTTGGATCATCCTGCGGAAGGCAGTCATGCACACACAGAGAGAACACGCACGCACGCACGCACGCACAGGCACGAAACCAGACAATGTGCGGGGAATGGGCGCCCGAGCGATGGCAAGAAGACATTCGTAGATTCCAGCGCAGATCCAAGAGATCCGCGCGGATCTCCAACATTATATTTATGCATGTTTTCTTCCTCTGCTCACTCCACCCTCCACGATCCAGGCAGGACAGTTGTCCGTCTCCCAGGGGGGTGCGGGGCGACGCGAGGACCATGTGCGGTGCGATTCGATGCACGTCTCCACCCGTTTCCGAGTTGTCGGTTCGATGCTGGCTGATTTTGCCCCATCTGCAGTTTGGCCAGGTTCCCGTTCCGCAAGATCTTTGAGTCGGGCCTGTCCCTCTACAGGTGTCATATTCAAAAATAGTCAAAACATAGTCTGGGGACGATTGTTTGTGTATGTTTAAACCATGTTTGAATATTTGTTGACGATTTTCAAAATTGTTCGTCCAACATCCCCCTTCAGGGGGACACGCCCGACCTAAAAGTAACCTGCACCGAGCGCCCGTCCGAGGTCTTGAGCCGTGCCGCCTGCACCACCTGCCGCCGGGGGCTCCGCCGTGAGGCTCTACAGTGCCGTGGTTGTCGTCGTCGTGCCGTCTCCTCGTCCCTGCCCTTGGGCTTCGTCTGCGACCTGGGCCCATCCGATGCTTCCGTGCCGAGCGACGGAGAGACACATGAGGAGCTGGTGGCCACATTCCGACGCACGCCCTGTTCCATCGGAGGTTGATAGACTTCATACTTTGACACGTCGATTAGCGAATTGGCCGTTTTCGGTTCGCGAGAGGGCGTCGCGGCCGTCATTTTTGCAGTCTAGGTCCGTCGGTTTCGGTTCTAGGCCGTTTTCTTTAAAGCGTGGTTTATTAATGGGATGTTTGTTTGTCCACCGCCGATTTCAGTCCGAGTCTTCGATCCGATGCCGGTTGCTCCCTTCCTCATTTGTTCCTCAAGGTCGGGTGCACTCAATCGGCGTGGTGTCATGGCGCCAACGTCGCAGCGCGGATGTCGTTCGGAGAACACGGGGATGGGCCCGGACTGTCCTGGAGAATTTTGCTCCAGAATTCGAAGTGAATTTCGTGCGTTTTTTTTCTTTGCCAGGAATGGAGACTACAAGCCATCCACGTGAAATTCACTTCGTTTTTCGCTCGCCGTTTCGGCGTTCTTGCATTGACCGGAATCCGCGCAATCCACGCAAGAATCCGCTGGAGCACGTCTGCAAGGTCGGTGCAGTGGACCGTGTGGTGGGTCAGTGTGGGTGCGGGGTCACCGCAAGGTTTCGGGACTCGGGCCGTGCTCCGAGGGCGTCTCTCGAGCGACTGCGGCCTCCGCGTCCCAGCGGGCCGTGGGGTGAGGCCTCGTGGGGTTCCGAGGGCAGCGCGCAGTACAGTGGGGGCCCATGCCAAGGTACACCCTGCTCGCCTCCAGGGTGCCCTGGGTTTCTTCGGCGTCGATGGTTTTGCGATGGCAAGCGCGACGTTGCCTCACCAAAAATTCATGGACGTCCTTGGGTCTCAGGGTTGGCTTCATGTGGAAGGTGTCTTGTGGACTGGCCTCCGCTGTATGTCACCGTACCGCTTTCGGACCCCCAGCCCAAAGCAGGCGCGCGGCGCCTGGCGCCTGCGCGCGCTGGTCGCCGCGCTGCTGGCGCTGGTGCTGAGCCGCCGCGCGCGCGGGGCCCTGGAGGCGCTGGTCAGGCGCGCACGGCGGGCGGGGCGCGGGCTGCTCGGAGACCGTGAGTGAAGAGCAGACGGAGGGGGGGGCTTCTCAAGCCGCGGGCGGCCAGAAGGGGGGTTGACGTCGAGGGGGTGGAGGGTCGGGCCATGAGATCCCGCCAGATGTCATGGCCACCTCGTCTTCTCTCAGTCTGTTCCTTGGTCCCCTCCCCTCGTCCGCGCACATGCTTCGGGTCATGATTTGCGAGCCCCCCTCTTGGACGCCCCCGACAAGGATGTTCGCGGGTTCGGTCGATTCGTCGGTTTCGTTCGATCGGTTCGGTTCGGTAAGTCACAGTTCCGTTGCCCGTTGTCGCTGAGCCTTTCTAGGTTGCTTGCGGCCTGTCTATCTTGGTCGGTTTCGGTTTCGCTGTCGGTTCGGTCGGTTTTCGGTTTTGCTGTCGCCGTGGACGGCCTTGCTCCATGATGTCAGGCAGGCCTAAGATGAAGACACGTCTTCCCCCGAGCGACTCATTTGCATCCTGCGATCGATGCGTCGACGGTCGAGGTCACGCATGTCCCCTAGCAGCACCAGATCGATTGCCCGATCCGATGTTGATTGATCCTGCATCGGGAGGCCTCCCGAGGCACAACGGTCCTTTTGGGGAAGGCGTATAGAGGATACGTGATCGTTCCAAATCGTTCCGGAATATTCCCAGAGCGTTTGTTGAGCGCTCTGGAGCAGCCTCGGCGCCCAGTGCATCCTCCATGCCCGCCAGGTATGAGAGATCTCTGGTATGATCAGTGTTAGCCAGCGAGGATCCCAAACAAGAATTTCTTGCAGTCTAATGCGTGGCAAACAATGTTGTACAATCTAGGTGGGGCCATCCATGTGGTGTCATAACTATATGGGGTCCAGAGCACTGCGAAGGACTGCAGCGCGATCCAAAGCAATGCGATGCAACACAAGTCTAAAGCAATGCAAAGCATTGCAAAGCAATACACAGCAATTCAAGACAATTCAATTCGATGCCAAGCAATGTAAGGGAATGCAAAGAAATGCGTAGCAATGCCAAACAATGCAAAGTTTGCGATGCGAGCGGGGGAGGAGCAACGGGGGGGGTGCAACGGAAGGCGGCGACGGACGGGAACGGAACCGCCGGGCCAACAGACTGGTCTTTTATTTCAAATGTCTTACGGCCATTGCCGCCGACCCTGAAGGGGGACGACGGCGATGACGTTGACGACGAAGACGACGGCGACGACGACGCTGACGCTATGGAGCCGAAAGCTTCTCCAAGGGAAGGGTTCTCCCCCGCGGGGGGGGGGTCGCAACACCCGGGACCCCCCCCTTCCCACCGCGGGGGATGGATCAGAGGGAAGGGGCTTTCATTCGACTCGGTTACGACGTTGCTTGATGTTCCTTTGGTTGGAATGCTTGAGGCGGAGCGGCGGCGACGACGAAGACGACTCAAACGGACAAGTTTTCCACACACGCCGGTAGGGTCGGCTGATTTGGAAAAACATGGCGGCGACGGATGGGATCGGGGCCGCTGGGCCAACAGACGGGTCCAGCTCCTTACAGGGGGAGTAAGAAACTTTAAGTGCAAGCGCTGTTTGGGGAATCTTCATCGGAAGTGATCTTCGTCCGCCCCTCGCCGTACGGAAACCAGACGCGGAGACCCCCTTGAGAGACTGCCGGGATCTTGGGGCCCTCTCGGAGCCCTTTTCGTCTCTCCGAGACGGTTTGATCTTGAACAGAGTTTCAACATGTAACATGGTACCAAGAGAGCTCCAAAACAACCCCAGAGATGTGACCCTGCCGTGCCACATCTCTGGGGCCCTCATTGGTTTCTCTCGGGGCCCTCTTGGGCCCCTAAATGACCTGGGAGGGCCTTGGCCGGCTGCAAGAGTGACCATTTCCCAGAGGGCCCCAAGCAGCCTCCACACCGACCCCAGAGATTTGACATGGCCGTGACACATCTGTGCGGTGGCACCAAGATGGCCCCAGAACAGCTAGAAATGCGACACGACCGTGACACATCTCCGAGGCCCTCTCGGGTTTCTTTCGGGGCCATTTCGGGAACCTCCTGAGAACTGATTGGATCATCTTTGTAGGGATAGGAAAACCGACATGGCACCCAAAGCAGGACATTCTGGCACGCCGCAACGCGCATCCAGGTAGAAATAGCGTCACCTAAGACGCCTGAAATTGTCCAGCTGTTTGTGGCAAGTCCCGCCACCGTGCCAGCCCAGCATTCTGGTGGATGGCGATGGTTCGAGGGGTCACAGGCGGCCGTCAAGTGTGACACCTAGTGCCTCCAGGCATGAGAGTCGTGATGATGGTGGTGATGATGATGGTAGTGGCTGTGATGATACTTATGATGATGATGTTGATGTTGACGATGTGTTGATGATGATGCTGGTTATGATGCTGATGGTGCCGCTGCTGATGCTGACGGTGATGATGATGAAGATGATGAGTATGATGATGTTGATGATGATGTTGTAGATGATGGTGGTTAGGCTGATGCTGATGGTGATGAGGGTGATGATGAAACTGCTGCTCATGGAGATGATAATGATGTTGGTGATGATGATAATGGTGATGGTGATGATGCTGATGTTGGTGATGATGATAATGGTGATGATGATGGTCATGATGGTCATGCTGATCCTGATGGGGATGCTACTGCTGCTCGTGTTGATAATGATGACGATGAACGCGATGGTGATGATGATGATGATGATGATGATGATGATGATGATGATGATGATGATGATGTTGGTGGTGGTGGTGATGACAATGATACTGTTGATGACGACCGTGTTGATGCTTACGACAACGACGACCTGGATGAGGAGGAGAATAATGATGACGATGATGCTGATGATGATGCAGACCCTGATGATATTGACGGACATGGTGATTGTGATGGTGGTGGTGATGATAATGCTGCCTTTGTTGATGATAATGACGATGAGGTTGATGTTGATGATGATGACGGCGCTGCTGATGATGATGATGATGATGATGATGTTGATGCTGATGCTGATGATGATGCTGATGGGATGATGATTCTGACGCAGATGCTGATGATGATGATGATGATGATGGCGGTGATGTTGATGCTGAGCATGGCGACGCTGATGATGATGATGATGCTGATGATGATGATGATGATGATGAACGTGAAAATGTTGGTGCTGATGATGAGAACGATGCTCTAGATGATGTTGCTGATGATGATGACGATGATGACGATGATGAGGCTGGTGATGATTATGGCGATGCTGATGCTGATGCTGATGCTGATGATGATACTGATACTGATACTGGTAGGGGATGATGATGGGGATGGGGAGGAGGAGGAGAAGGAGGAGAAGAAGGAGGATGAGGATGAGGATGAGCTGGAGGAGGAGGAGGAGGAGGAGGAAGACGAAGAGGAAGGCCGTCACCTGTGACGCGTTTCGTCTTCACTATTTGAGGAGTTCTTATGGAGCTCGTGTTGGCCGTGTTGTGGTTGCCTGGGCCTCCTGTGATGCAGTCTTGGGGAGTCCCTTGGGGCCTTCTTTGGCCGTCTGGCGGCCCTCTTATCCTCTTGGGCCATCTTGGGACCGCCTTTGGGCCATCTGGGCAGCATGATGAGTGCCCGTGCCGTCGTGGGGCCGTACGTAGGCAGCTGAAGTGCCCTGTAATGCCGCATTGCGCCACACGGGATGCTTTCTGGGGCCGTCTTTGGGCCGTCTTGGATGCCGCTCTGACCCTCGTGGTGGCCTCTAAAGCTGACTTATGGCCATCGTTGAGGCTTCCTGGGCCGTCTTGAGCTGACGGAATCCCGAAAAGGCAATAGTGCGAACATCATTCAAACACCCCAGGGGCATATCAACGGCGTGGCTTCTTCGGGCCCTGTCATCGGACCTCTTTGGACCCTCTTGGAGGCATCTTGGGCCAGTTTGAGGCCATGCTCGGTCGCATGTGGGCCATCTTTGGCACGTTTTCGAAGCATATTGGGCCATCTGTTGATGGGCTTGGTTGCCTGCCTGGGCTGTCTTGGAAGCTCAGGACGCGGACACATTTGCTGTTCAGGGGATCGTGGCCTCGTGATGCGGATAAAGGTCAGTATTTGGCATGCTAAGACGCCGACATCGGGCAGGCACAGTGGCGGGTATAGTGTGTCTGTGTGTGCTGCGTGGCAGAATTTACGCGTTGTAAAATACAATGGGGGTCCATGCCAAGAAACGCCCTGCTTGCCTCCAGGGTGCCCTGAGTTTCGATGGTTTTGGGATGGAAGGTGCGAAGTTCCCACACCAGACATCGATGGACATCCTGGGGTCTCAGGCTTGTATTTCTTGTGGAAGGTTTGTTGTGGACTGGCCTCCACTGTATGTGGTGTGAGCTATCTAATGGCCTTCGGCCCATCCGCCACCGTGCCTGGGCTGTGGGTATGAAGCCTACTGGATGCTCGTTAGGATCTCGTGGGAAGCTTCTCGGGGGCCTCTTGGAGGCAGTTTGGACGCCTCTTGCGTCTTGGGGCACCCTTGGGGCCTCTGGGGGGCCTCCTGGGGGCCTCTTGGGGCCTCCTGGGCGCCTCTTGGGGCCTCCTGGGGGCCTCTTGGAGCGGAAGGCTCGGATTTTCGATGTGTGTTCCTTCTCTGGGGCCTCTTTTGGGGCCCTTCTTGGTGCCCTCTTGGGCCGTTTCGGCCGCTCCTTGGGCCGTCTTGGGGCCCTCCTCGGCTTTTTGGGGCTTTCTTGAAGGCCTCTTGCGCCGTCCTGGGGCGGTCTTGGAGGCCTCTTGGGCTGTCTGGGAGCGTCGGAAAGCCGAAAAGGCGAGAAGGCCACAAACTTTCAAGCACCAATTGACAAAAAACACGATGTTGCCTTCTTGGGGCCCTCTTCGGAGGCCTCTTCGGAGGCCTCTTGGGGCGTATTGGGGGCCTCTTGGGCCGTCTCGAGTTCATCTTGAGCGTCTTGGGCCGATCTTGGGGCATATCGGGCCCCGTCGCGGCTCCCGGCATGACTCTTGGGGCCCTCTTGGCCCATCTCGGGGCCCTCTTGGGGCGAGCGAAAATCACGCGCCACCATTTCCCGAAGCCCAGAGGGCACGCCCGAAGCCCCGTGGGATTTGAGAAGTTGGGGTCTGGTTCCCTGAGGGACTCCTCAGGAGTGAGGACTGCGGCTTGGGGGAGCAGGCAAAGGAATGCCAAGGACCCGAGGACACGCCCACTCCGTGCCCAGCGGCACGGTGGCTGATGTGGTGTGAGCTCTGCGATTCAAGATATGTGGCGCCCACCAGGCGCCCACCCACGATGCGCCCACGGACGGGCACCAGGCGAAACCTCGGCGTACCCCTCCAGCGCTGGGCGCCCAAGGGCGGGCATCAGGCGAGACCTCGGCGTAGCCCCCCTGCGCGTGACGCCCACGGGCGCCCACCAACAGGACACCAGTCGAAACCCTGGCGCACCCTTTAGTAACAACTGCAATGCATCGCCGATTCCACGTCAACGTCCACCCCCCCCCCTGAGGTAGCCCCCCTTATCGTTCCCCCTCACCCCATCGCACAGCTCCAGCAGCACGCTGGGGAGGTGGGGGGCCATGGCGTGGGGAATGGGGGGTTCAGTTGGTCGGCCGCCGCTGTGGGGAGCCACCGGCTTCGGCACCGTTCCTCGAGCCACCTCCCCCGATCTTTGGATCTGGCGCCCACGCGCCAGATCCACGCATGCGTCATCCACGTTAGCGTGCCCAAGCTCCCGAGAGGTCGTCGACACAGCTGGGTCTGATTTCCATAGGCCGTCCCTGGAAACTCAAGAGTGCCCTCGTGTCCTGCCCTTTCGAGTTTCACGTCCCAGTTATGCAAGTCTGGAGTACAAACTGCCCCCGGAAGAGACTCGTGGCCTCTCTTGTGTCCTCCGCAGCCTGCCCCGCTTGCGCACTGGGATCCCCCAGGGAAGAGAGGAGCGCAGCTCCCCCAGATTCGGGGGAGCGTAAGACCCTGGTTTGCCAGGACTCGGGTTCGCCATCGTTTTTTGACGACCGCGACTCGGATTTTGACGAGTAGGAGTTTCGTGGGATGTCTGCAGCGGGAGGCCTCGTCAAAATGCAGGCTCGGCCTCGTCATTTTTTTGACGACCTCGTCGGGGATTTCCGAGTCCCCTGTACCCGGGTCTTACGCCCCCCTGATAGATGAGCCTGGTTCGGCGAGCGAAGTCTGGGGTGACCCGAGGCAGAGGCGGCACCTTCGACCCGTGTGGCCAAGAGAACGGTTTGGGTCAGGGGCGGACGGCGGGAGGCAGTGGTTGAGAAAGGAGTATTTTGCTCCTCCTCCATCCTTTCCCCCTCCTCCGCCCCTTCTCCCCTCCTCCACCCCTCCGCCATCCTCCCCCCCCTCGATGCCCCCCGCCCTCCTCCCTGCCCCCATGTATCCTCCTCCTCCTCCTCCTCCTCCTCCTCCTCCTCCTCCTCCTCCTCCTCCTACATGACGGGCTTCAGAGGTTATAGGGACCTGGTGCTGCATGGGGAGAAGAGGTTCAGGTCAATGGGGTCCTCCATGAGGCCCCCCAGTGGAAGAATTGGGGTTTGCAGTGGACCTTTCTGGGGACTTTCAGAGCTTCGCGTGAACTCCAGGGAATTAGCGGGCGGTTTAGAATTTGTTCCCATGAGCTTCCAGGATGCCCTGCTGCTTCCAGCAGTTTTCAAAGGTCTCCAATGGGCCTCCAGGACCTTCTGGGGAGCATGCAGGAGTTTCCAAGGGGCACCCAGTGGCTTCAGGGAGCAGGCTCCATGAAAGGGGCATTTAGAAGACTTCAAAGGTGTTTATGATGCTTCAGGGAGCTCTCAAGAAGATTGTTGTTTTTCATCCTCTGGCCCTGGCCGAATCTCCCCTTTCCCCCGCGTGACGGTCACGATTGTACGTGTGTGTGTGGACGGTCACGATTGTACGTGTGTGTGTGTGCGCGCGTGTGTGTGTGTGTGTGTGCGTGTGCGTGTGCGTGTGCGTGTGCGTGTGCGTGTGTGTGTGTGTGTGTGTGTGTGTGTGTGTGTGTGTGTGTGTGTGTGTGTGTGTGTGTGTGTGTGTGTGTGTGTGTGTGTGTGCGCACGTGCTTGCGTGCGTGCGTGTGCGTGCGTGCGTGCTTGTGTGTGCGCGTGTGTGTGTGTATTTGTGTGTGTGTGTGTTTGTGTGTGTGGGGCCTGAACACCCACCACATGTTGGTGCCTGCGCGCGTACTACGGCGATCGGAGCGCACCCCCGTCCCGACGTGCCCTACCCCGTCCAAACATTACCAATCGTTACCCCCACCCTTGGTAACGACCAGTACCAGACATAATTACACAACACAACTTAGTGCGTCTTGGGGCTGGGGGCCTTTCGTGGGGCCCCTTGTGCGGACCTGGTGCCCGACGTTGGACTCCAGGCCCATTTCATCACTGGTCGCTGTGGAGGCTCCAGAGGGTAGTAGATTGCCACCTTGACTTGCCATGTCCCTCGTTTACCGCTTCACCCTCCACTTCAGCATGAACATAATTGTGGCGATCTTAAGTTGTTTCTTCGGTGCCCTGCTGGTGCCGTCCTGCGCCGCGTAGCCCTCGTCTTGGGCTAGATGTACGAAAGAGCGGAGGACACACGAGGGCGTGATTGCTGTCTATGATGTGAGCTCGTCGGGGGCATTATTGGCGCTATATTCGTGGCTACCCAGCTCTGCTTAGGGCCGTGCCAGAGCACGTCTAGGCCATCTGGGGGCCGCGCGGGGCCATCGCTGTCTCTGCTGGTAACACCGTTTGTAGTCTGCTGTTTGGGGCACCGCCGCCCTCTACGCGTGGATGTCTGTTGCGAGTTCCAAATGCTGCGCATGGTTTAGGCTCGTGCCACTGGTCCTGTCTGGTTGCCGTATGCTGGATTGAACGCGTCGCCGTTTTGTCGTGTCCGTTTGTATCCAGCACGCGATTCGGCTTCACGATGTAGCATATTGGCTCAAGAGCACGCTGACACCATGGCAGCAGATGACCAAGCCGACAACGAAGACTTTTACACAACGTTAGGCGTGGACAAAGATGCGTGTGATGAGACCATCCGGAGAGCATATCTGAAGAGCGCTCTCAGATGGCATCCAGACAAAAATCTTGAGAATCAAGAGTTGGCAGAGTCCATGTTCAAAAAGCTCGCCAGGGCTTACAAAGTGTTGTCTGA